ACTGATTGTTGCCTAGCAACACTAATTCCCGTACATCTCCGTATCATGTCCTGGACCTCGCGGGGCCACACCAATATTCACCAGCCACACCTCCTTCTGCAGAAATGGATGCTCTTCTCTCTCCCAGAGCAATCTCTTCTCTCTTTATAGCCTCTCTTCACTTTATTGGAGCCATTCTGATTACGTGGCTGCTTGGCAAATGGCGCTCCCTTCCATTCCACGAGTGGTTGATAGTTCTCTGGCTGGTTTATGATGCTATAGTCCACTTTACATTAGTAAATACATTATAATTATGGCTGTGTCTACAGCTCCGGTAACCGGACGTAGTTTGCAATGCTAGAGCTCCGGCAGTCCGTTTTTCTCCGTAAAACAGCTTGTGCGCATGCGCAATAGTGCAAAATGGAACTTAGTCTTTTTATCAAGAAACACTAAACCCTAACCCCAAAACCCTACGATCCCGGAGGCTAAGATGTACGAGAGGGTGCTCTAAAAACTAAACACTAAACCCCAATCCCAACCCTACGACCCCGGAGGCTAAGATGTACGAGAGGGTGCTCTAAAAACTAAACACTAAACCCCAATCCCAACCCTACGACCCCGGAGGCTAAGATGTACGAGAGGGTGCTATTTCTTGACCCAAAAAAAGCCAAAAAGAAAAAAAATTGCAAAAAAAGATATTAAAAAAAAGAAAAAAAATCAAAAACTGCAGCATAGACGGTTTTACTCGGTAGTCCTGACCGGATTCGAACCCCTGACCCTATCCGTGCAATCCACACCAGCCTCTCCACTGCACCACCACGACCCTTGCTGCATCATCAACGCTGGTTGTTGTATTTATACTCGGTTTCTATAATATAAATCAGTGTATTATTAATACTGCACTGGGGCGTAGCCCCAGTATATATATAGGGGCGACGCCCCTATTACCGGAGCTCTAGCACTGCATACTGTGTCCGGTTACCGGAGCTCTAGACACTTCCTATAAGGCTTCCTCAGTGTGCATTGCAATCATCATTGTGCTCTTTTAGGAAGGACCTTTTGTCTTTTTTTCACTGAACAGCACAGTTTTAGAGTCGAGTGGCATTCTTGCTGATGTCTGTAAGATATTAATGATACAAAAATGTTCTTGACTATAAAACTGTCTTCTTTGCTTTCCTCCTCTTCCTCTCCAGGGAAGGAATATTCAGTTGCTGATTATCGATGGGGTGTATCTGATCCAACAATAGTATCACTTGAGATCCTAACTGTCTTTGTTGATGGTTCCCTTTGCATTCTACTCATCTATGCCATTTTAAAGAACAAATACTACAGGTATAAACTTTTGCATGCAGGATTTATTCATGATTAATTTTATTCCAGGCATTTTGTTCAGATTGTTCTCTGTGTCTGTGAGCTTTATGGAGGTAATTATATAGTGCACAAGAATATTTCTCCTCCATTTCTCTTCATAGGATGGATGACTTTTGCTCCAGAGTGGTTAACAGGGTCTCCAAACTTATCTACAGACAATGTCATCCACATGTGGCT